GGACCAAGTTAGACCTGCGTGAGGCCACGTCTCCTCATCTGACAGTGAAGAAGGCCGAGGGCAAGAAGGTGGCTCACTCCCTCAAGATGAACGCGTATGTGGAGTGCTCGGCCAAGACCATGGAAGGCTGCGAGGCCGTCTTCCAGGCGGCGGTCAGAGCAGCCAACCAGCCGTATAAGGTGGACGGACCACAGTGCAGACTACTCTGAGTCAACTCTGCCCTCACGCTCCCTCATGAACTTATTCCACCACCAAATGTCATTTACATTTGAGTAGTCTAACCTCAGATTGGATGTCCAGTTTTAACTTTAAAATTCTCTTCAGAAGATACCCCCTTCATTTGTACTGTTTAATATCATAGAAGAAAATGTGAGAATCACGTTATGATGAAACTTGGGTTATACTTCTACAACACACACTCTGCCCCTGCTCCTCCACCACATACTCTGCCCCTGCTCCTCCACCACATACTCTGGCCCTGCTCCTCCACCACATACTCTGCCCCTGCTCCTCCACCACATACTCTGCCCCTGCTCCTCCACCACATACTCTGGCCCTGCTCCTCCACCACATACTCTGCCCCTGCTCCTCCACCACATACTCTGGCCCTGCTCCTCCACCACATACTCTGGCCCTGCACCTCCACCACATACTCTGCCCCTGCTCCTCCACCAAATACTCTGCCCCTGCTCCTCCACCACATACTCTGGCCCTGCACCTCCACCACATACTCTGGCCCTGCACCTCCACCACATACTCTGCCCCTGCTCCTCCACCACATACTCTGGCCCTGCACCTCCACCACATACTCTGGCCCTGCACCTCCACCACATACTCTGCCCCTGCTCCTCCAACACATACTCTGCCTCTGCACCTCCAACACATACTCTGGCCCTGCACCTCCACCACATACTCTGGCCCTGCACCTCCACCACATACTCTGGCCCTGCACCTCCACCTCATACTCTGGCCCTGCACCTCCACCACATACTCTGCCCCTGCACCTCCACCACATACTCTGGCCCTACACCTCCACCACATACTCTGCCCCTGCACCTCCAACACATACTCTGGCCCTGCACCTCCACCACATACTCTGGCCCTGCACCTCCACCACATACTCTGCCCCTGCACCTCCACCACATACTCTGCCCCTGCACCTCCACCACATACTCTGGCCCTGCACCTCCACCACATACTCTGCCCCTGCACCTCCAACACATACTCTGGCCCTGCTCCTCCACCACATACTCTGGCCCTGCTCCTCCAACACATACTCTGCCCCTGCTCCTCCACCACATACTCTGCCCCTGCTCCTCCACCACATACTCTGCCCCTGCTCCTCCACCACATACTCTGGCCCTGCACCTCCACCACATACTCTGCCCCTGCTCCTCCACCACATACTCTGGCCCTGCACCTCCACCACATACTCTGGCCCTGCACCTCCACCACATACTCTGGTCCTGCACCTCCACCACATACTCTGCCCCTGCTCCTCCACCACATACTCTGGCCCTGCACCTCCACCACATACTCTGGTCCTGCACCTCCACCACATACTCTGGCCCTGCACCTCCACCACATACTCTGGCCCTGCACCTCCACCACATACTCTGCCCCTGCTCCTCCACCACATACTCTGGCCCTGCACCTCCACCACATACTCTGGTCCTGCTCCTCCACCACATACACTGGCCCTGCACCTCCAGCACATACTCTGGCCCTGCACCTCCACCACATACTCTGGTCCTGCACCTCCACCACATACTCTGCCCCTGCTCCTCCACCACATACTCTGGCCCTGCACCTCCACCACATACTCTGGTCCTGCACCTCCACCACATACTCTGCCCCTGCACCTCCACCACATACTCTGGCCCTGCACCTCCACCACATACTCTGCCCCTGCTCCTCCACCACATACTCTGGCCCTGCACCTCCACCACATACTCTGGTCCTGCTCCTCCACCACATACACTGGCCCTGCACCTCCACCACATACTCTGCCCCTGCTCCTCCACCACATACTCTGGCCCTGCACCTCCACCACATACTCTGGCCCTGCACCTCCACCACATACTCTGGTCCTGCACCTCCACCACATACTCTGCCCCTGCTCCTCCACCACATACTCTGGCCCTGCACCTCCACCACATACTCTGGTCCTGCACCTCCACCACATACTCTGCCCCTGCACCTCCACCACATACTCTGGCCCTGCACCTCCACCACATACTCTGCCCCTGCTCCTCCACCACATACTCTGGCCTTGCACCTCCACCACATACTCTGGTCCTGCTCCTCCACCACATACACTGGCCCTGCACCTCCACCACATACTCTGTTCCTGCTCCTCCACCACATACTCTGTTCCTGCTCCTCCACCACATACACTGGCCCTGCACCTCCACCACATACACTGGTCCTGCACCTCCACCACATACACTGGCCCTGCTCCTCCACCACATACTCTGGCCCTGCACCTCCACCACATACTCTGTTCCTGCTCCTCCACCACATACACTGGCCCTGCTCCTCCACCACATACTCTGGCCCTGCACCTCCACCACATACTCTGGTCCTGCTCCTCCACCACATACTCTGGCCCTGCACCTCCACCACATACTCTGGTCCTGCTCCTCCACCACATACACTGGTCCTGCACCTCCACCACATACACTGGTCCTGCACCTCCACCACATACTCTGGTCCTGCACCTCCACCACATACACTGGCCCGGCTCCTCCACCACACACTCTACCCCTGCTCCTCCACCACACACTCTACCCCTGCTCCTCCAAACTACTGCCGCCTCCTAAGATGCAGTTGTCAATGTACTGTACAACCAAAAATTTTATTTATATATTACAATTTTGTTTATAGTTTGATAGTTTGCATACCGTACCTGTGAGAGTTTGGATATTATTTTGTATTAGCGGGGTGAGGTATGCCAGTAGAGGCGCCAAGTATTAAGACAAGTACAATTCAAATTCAGGAAAAGAGCTAAGAACTACTCAAGAATAGTCAGACGTGAGTCGTGTATAAAGAGTTATTCACCATCAATAGAGCACTTGTTACGAGGGTGAGCTGGTGACATGTTCCTCTTGTACTGACAGCCTCGACCCAGTGCTCACACAGGACAGCCTCGACCCAGTCCTCACACGGGTCAGCCTCGACCCAGTCCTCACACAGGACAGCCTCGACCCAGTGCTCACACAGATCAACCTCGACCCAGTGCTCACACAGGACAGCCTCGACCCAGTGCTCACACAGGACAGCCTCGACCCAGTGCTCACACAGGACAGCCTCGACCCAGTCCTCACACAGGACAGCCTCGACCCAGTCCTCACACAGGACAGCCTCGACCCAGTCCTCACACGGGTGAGCCTCGACCCAGTGCTCACACGGGTCAGCCTCGACCCAGTCCTCACACGGGTCAGCCTCGACCCAGTGCTCACACAGGACAGCCTCGACCCAGTCCTCACACAGGACAGCCTCGACCCAGTCCTCACACAGGACAGCCTCGACCCAGTCCTCACACAGGACAGCCTCGACCCAGTGCTCACACAGATCAACCTCGACCCAGTGCTCACACAGGACAGCCTCGACCCAGTGCTCACACAGGACAGCCTCGACCCAGTGCTCACACAGGACAGCCTCGACCCAGTCCTCACACAGGACAGCCTCGACCCAGTCCTCACACAGGACAGCCTCGACCCAGTCCTCACACGGGTGAGCCTCGACCCAGTGCTCACACGGGTCAGCCTCGACCCAGTCCTCACACGGGTCAGCCTCGACCCAGTGCTCACACAGGACAGCCTCGACCCAGTCCTCACACAGGACAGCCTCGACCCAGTCCTCACACAGGACAGCCTCGACCCAGTCCTCACACAGGACAGCCTCGACCCAGTGCTCACACAGGACAGCCTCGACCCAGTCCTCACACAGGACAGCCTCGACCCAGTGCTCACACAGGACAGCCTCGACCCAGTGCTCACACAGGACAGCCTCGACCCAGTCCTCACACGGGTCAGCCTCGACCCAGTGCTCACACGGGTCAGCCTCGACCCAGTGCTCACACGGGTCAGCCTCGACCCAGTCCTCACACGGGTCAGCCTCGACCCAGTGCTCACACGGGTCAGCCTCGACCCAGTGCTCACACGGGTCAGCCTCGACCCAGTCCTCACACGGGTCAGCCTCGACCCAGTGCTCACACGGGTCAGCCTCGACCCAGTCCTCACACAGGACAGCCTCGACCCAGTCCTCACACGGGTCAGCCTCGACCCAGTGCTCACACAGATCAGCCTCGACCCAGTCCTCACACAGGACAGCCTCGACCCAGTGCTCACACAGATCAGCCTCGACCCAGTGCTCACACAGGACAGCCTCGACCCAGTCCTCACACGGGTCAGCCTCGACCCAGTCCTCACACAGGACAGCCTCGACCTAGTCCTCACACAGGACAGCCGCGACCTAGTGCTCACACAGATCAGCCTCGACCCACTGCTCACACAGGACAGCCTCGACCCAGTGCTCACACAGGACAGCCTCGACCTAGTGCTCACACAGGACAGCCTAGACCCAGTCCTCACACAGGACAGCCTCGACCCAGTGCTCACACAGGACAGCCTCGACCTAGTGCTCACACAGATCAGCCTCGACCTCTAGAAGCCTCTAGATCAGCCTGTCCTGTGCTCACACAGGACAGCCTCGACCCAGTGCTCACACAGGACAGCCTCGACCTAGTGCTCACACAGGACAGCCTCGACCTAGTGCTCACACAGGACAGCCTCGACCCAGTCCTCACACAGGACAGCCTCGACCTAGTGATCACACAGGACAGCCTCGACCTAGTGCTCACACAGGACAGCCTCGACCCAGTGCTCACACAGGACAGCCTCGACCTAGTGCTCACACAGATCAGCCTCGACCCAGTGCTCACACAGGACAGCCTCGACCCAGTGCTCACACAGGACAGCCTCGACCTAGACCTCACACAGGACAGCCTCGACCTAGTGCTCAACACAGATCAGCCTGGACCCAGTGCTCACACAGGACAGCCTCGACCCAGTGCTCACACAGGACAGCCTCGACCTAGTGCTCACACAGGACAGCCTCGACCCAGGAATGTCCTGTCCTGTGCTCACACAGGACAGCCTCGACCCAGTGCTCACACAGGACAGCCTCGACCCAGTGCTCACACAGGACAGCCTCGACCTAGTGCTCACACAGGACAGCCTCGACCCAGTCCTCACACAGGACAGCCTCGACCTAGTGCTCACACAGGACAGCCTCGACCTAGTGCTCACACAGGACAGCCTCGACCCAGTGCTCACACAGGACAGCCTCGACCTAGTGCTCACACAGATCAGCCTCGACCCAGTGCTCACACATGACAGCCTCGACCCAGTGCTCACACAGGACAGCCTCGACCCAGACCTCACACAGGACAGCCTCGACCTAGTGCTCAACACAGATCAGCCTGGACCCAGTGCTCACACAGGACAGCCTCGACCCAGTGCTCACACAGGACAGCCTCGACCTAGTGCTCACACAGGACAGCCTCGACCCAGACCTCACACAGGACAGCCTCGACCAAGTCCTCACACAGGACAGCCTCGACCCAGTCCTCACACAGGACAGCCTCGACCCAGTCCTCACACAGGACAGCCTCGACCCAGTCCTCACACAGGACAGCCTCGACCCAGTGCTCACACAGGACAGCCTCGACCCAGTCCTCACACAGGACAGCCTCGACCTAGTCCTCACACGGGTGAGCACACACTAGTGCTCACACGGGTGAGCACACACTAGTGCTCACACAGGACAGCCTCGACCCAGTGCTCACACAGGACAGCCTCGACCTAGTGCTCACACAGGACAGCCTAGTCCTCACACGGGTGAGCACACACTAGTGCTCACACAGGACAGCCTCGACCCAGTGCTCACACAGGACAGCCTCGACCTAGTGCTCACACAGGACAGCCTCGACCCAGTCCTCACACAGGACAGCCTCGACCCAGACCTCACACGGGTCAGCCTCGACCCAGTCCTCACACAGGACAGCCTCGACCTAGTGCTCACACAGGACAGCCTCGACCCAGTGCTCACACAGGACAGCCTCGACCTAGTGCTCACACAGATCAGCCTCGACCCAGTGCTCACACAGGACAGCCTCGACCCAGTGCTCACACAGGACAGCCTCGACCCAGTCCTCACACAGGACAGCCTCGACCTAGTGCTCACACAGATCAGCCTCGACCCAGTGCTCACACAGGACAGCCTCGACCCAGTGCTCACACAGGACAGCCTCGACCCAGTGCTCACACAGGACAGCCTCGACCCAGTGCTCACACAGGACAGCCTCGACCCAGACCTCACACAGGACAGCCTCGACCTAGTCCTCACACGGGTCAGCCTCGACCCAGTCCTCACACAGGACAGCCTCGACCTAGTCCTCACACGGGTCAGCCTTACCATACACCGACCTGCACCTGACCCTCAAAGACTTACTCATAAACTCCAGCATCGTGTATAACCGAAAGTAGTATGTTCTAGAATTTATTACAAACGTATAATATAATTTTACATATATTTCGGCCTAGATTAGGTTAGATGTTTAGCTTCCTGTTGGCAATTATATACATTTGTTGTGCGTGTGTGGAAGCACTGACACAGGGGCGGTTAAGGCAGAGATCGTCAGTGAAATACTGTTCGGGGAATGTTCGAACGTCATCCGTTGTTAGTCTTATGTAAAGTGGTCTTTAATTAATAAACAAAGACTTTGAGGACGGGCCCGAGACAAGTAATGAGTTGTGATTCGAACTATTGTTTTATAAAGGTTCGAACGAAATCAGTTAAATGGTGGCTGGATTAACTAGCATTTGCCAATTGTTTGTGAGAAGTCTCGTTTTTTTCCTCTATAGTGATAAAAAAGCACAATATGTGTACAAATAATGGAAATTAACCTAAGCAATAAATTATTACACAAAGAACACATACTATACAACCAGGAAAGACAACTCACATGTGTAATCCTAAAGTACAAATTGTACTTTACACTCAAATGCCTTCAAAATGTTATAGGACGAACAAAATAACACAAGATGAACGTGACAGATCATAATAAAAGGTAACACGGAGCTCACTACTAATTTTATTTTGATTAATTAACTTGCCAAGGAATGCTACATAAATACAATAAAAGAAAGTACAAAGTCAAAATACAAAGTAGCTAACAACAGTCACCGTACTGAACCCAGCACACATATATGAACGTATGCCTGTATAAACATGGAACACAACAGCGCAACAACTAGCATCAAACACAAAAATATGGGTACAGGTCACTCCGTATCGGACACAGGATCAGCCACATTGTACATAGTAGGATAGTTCTCCTGGGGATACTTCCGACGATACCACCGCCACTCATCTCATGCAGCCGGAGACGGTGGAACGCCATTCGTGGCAGAGGGGCGACGCGTACGCAACGAAGGTAACGTGAAGGTACTGGCGCAGGTGCGCCAGTACCTTCATGCACCAGCGTGTTACCCGTCTCGTCATCCTCAACCGTCAGCAGCACCCAGCGAGGAAAAGTCGGTCTCCAGAAAGCTGTTGACCGGGTCCCCAATCTGTACTTGACTGGTGCCAGCAAGGTGGACTGGGAACCCACTCCGACTGGGTTGTCTGGGATACATAAAGTGGAGGCTGTGACCTAATACAGATGAAGAAGACGGGATATTCCAGTCTAGGTAACCCTCTTACTGGGCCAGATGCAAACTTGCTCCACCCGTCACCTTCTACCTTGCCATATTGTCCGAGAAGTCGGGTGAGCACCTCGTGACAGTTCACACGGCGCATCAAACACGGCTCAAAACGTCACCGTCTTCCTGGTGTCAAGAACTGTCACTGTTCCCGCACCATTTGTCAATGGCACATCTCCGCATCGGTCCATAAATGCTTTGATACTGCTACGACACGCCTATTCCTTAAAAGCAGTACCCCATGACCTCCTCCAGGCTAACACGCCCACAAGCGTAGCTCCCACAAGAGCCTAGTCAGCTCGTATAGTCAAATCTGGACCGGCCAAAACATATCACCGTAAAGGAGAAGCCCATCCCTCCATGGTCCTCCCTGCACCAAGCAGGGCACTCACGCTGGGAATGAAGTGAAAATAATCGCATTGTTCAAAAACATGAAGTCAATTGAGAGGCAATCGGGAACCATTGCCTTCACTGACGTCTCACCAAACAGGTGAGACTTCAGAACGTCGCCCATCCGGGTGAGTTTGTGAGAACTAGGTAGACACAGTGTGTCTGGGGTAGAGGCATTCAGTAGAAGACGAGTGGCGGGTAGTCACGAGTGGCGGGTAGTCACGAGTGGCACGAGTCACTAGTCCCTCTCATAAACAAGGGACTGACGCGCGTTAGTCCAGGTGCCAAGCCTCTGGGTTAACATGGACACGCTCCGCATCACTCAACTCATGTCGTTCCACCTTTTCTTGACCGACGACAGTTCGTTCGATATTTGATTCCTTGTGCCGCAGCAAAATGTTAAATAGGTATTTTAAATGTTATATGTGCATTGTATATGCTATATATGCATTGTAAATGTTATATGTACCTTTTAAATGGTATATATGCGTTTTAAATGTAATTAATTTGTATTAGTGTCTTAAATTATGATTAAGTCTTCACAAAGATGAAAAACAAATATATTTTCGTCGTTATATAAACTATGTTAATAACTTGATATAATACGGTTAGTATTGGCCATCCTTCCTGAAGTGAAAGTACTGATAATAATTATTTGGTCAAACGCATCAATGTGTTGTGAAGTTGACATAATTTGTCATAAAAAATTGACCTTTGTATTATTGAAAGTTTTTAACGGGAACATAAATATATGACCTGACCTAACCTCTCCTAGAAATCCTAGACCTAATACACGCTATTGTAGATCTAATGGGAATATATGTGCGCGCTATACTAGTCATATTAATATATTAGTTTGTTTATGTCTATATTTGTTCCAGACTCTAAAAAAATACAAGCACAATAAATGAATTATTAGCTGTCCATCACTACACATTGGTACTTTCGACCGAATAGTCACTATACGTACTATCATGAAACTGAAAATAGTGTATAGCTTGGTCCAAAGAACACCAGGTGAACAGGGAGTACCTTCAGTAAGCACATGTCTTCTGAAGACACTGTATAATGGTTCTCTAGGTTCAGAAAGTTTTACACTTAACGTATAAGAGTGACGTGATATGTGAGCTGAATGTTACTGGCTGTGTGGAGGGTTCCAGGGGAAAGATAAGTGTACTTACAATTACCTTCTAGTTACACTCCAGCTATAAGCTTTGTAAAAGTTAACAATTTGTTCTGTAACAGTTAAAGTGTTATACAATAACTCTGAGAATAATGTATTTCCATTGAAGATAAACTGTTCAAACATTCTGTCTTGTACATAAGATACTTAAGCATTAAGATCAACAAAACATTCCGAGCTTGTTTTTATATCCTTTAATGTTGTTCTCCACCATCTGGATAATAATTGATGAGAACGCTGTACTCAGGAGGAGAGACACACTAACAACTGTCAACAAGGAGGAGACACACACTAACAACTGTCAACAAGGAGGGGAAACACACTAACAACTGTCAACAAGGAGGAGACACACACTAACAACTGTCAACAAGGAGGGGAAACACACTAACAACTGTCAACAAGGAGGGGAGACACACTAATAATTGTCAACATGGAGGGGAAACACACTAACAACTGTCAACAAGGAGGAGAGACACATTAACAACAGTCAACAAGGAGGAGGCACACTAACAACTGTCAACAAGGAGGGGAGACACTAACACCTGTCAACAAGTAGGAGAGACACACTAACAACTGTCAACAAGGAGGGGAGACACTAACAACTGTCAACAAGGAGGAGACACACACTAACAACTGTCAACAAGGAGGAGACACACACTAACAACTGTCAACAAGGAGGGGAGACACACTAATAATTGTCAACATGGAGGGGAAACACACTAACAACTGTCAACAAGGAGGAGAGACACATTAACAACAGTCAACAAGGAGGAGGCACACTAACAACTGTCAACAAGGAGGGGAGACACTAACACCTGTCAACAAGTAGGAGAGACACACTAACAACTGTCAACAAGGAGGGGAGACACTAACAACTGTCAACAAGGAGGAGACACACACTAACAACTGTCAACAAGGAGGAGACACACACTAACAACTGTCAACAAGGAGGGGAAACACACTAACAACTGTCAACAAGGAGGAGACACACACTAACAACTGTCAACAAGGAGGGGAAACACACTAACAACTGTCAACAAGGAGGAGACACACACTAACAACTGTCAACAAGGAGGGGAAACACACTAACAACTGTCAACAAGGAGGGGAGACACACTAATAATTGTCAACATGGAGGGGAAACACACTAACAACTGTCAACAAGGAGGAGAGACACATTAACAACAGTCAACAAGGAGGAGGCACACTAACAACTGTCAACAAGGAGGGGAGACACTAACACCTGTCAACAAGTAGGAGAGACACACTAACAACTGTCAACAAGGAGGGGAGACACTAACAATTGTCAACAAGGAGGAGACACACACTAACAACTGTCAACAAGGAGGAGACACACACTAACAACTGTCAACAAGGAGGGGAAACACACTAACAACTGTCAACAAGGAGGAGACACACACTAACAACTGTCAACAAGGAGGGGAAACACACTAACAACTGTCAACAAGGAGGGGAGACACACTAATAATTGTCAACATGGAGGGGAAACACACTAACAACTGTCAACAAGGAGGAGAGACACATTAACAACAGTCAACAAGGAGGAGACACACTAACAACTGTCAACAAGGAGGGGAGACACTAACACCTGTCAACAAGTAGGAGAGACACACTAACAACTGTCAACAAGGAGGGGAGACACACTAACACCTGTCAACAAGGAGGAGAAACACACTAACAACAGTCAACAAGGAGGAGAGACACATTAACAACAGTCAACAAGGAGGAGACACACTAACAACTGTCAACAAGGAGGAGAGACACTAACAACTGTCAACAAGGAGGAGAGACACTAACAACTGTCAACAAGGAGGAGAGACACACTAACAACTATCAACAAGGAGAGACACACTAACAGCTGTCAACAAGGAGGAGAGACACTAACACCTGTCAACAAGGAGGGGAGACACACTAATAACTGTCAACATGGAGGGGAAACACACTAACAACTGTCAACAAGGAGGAGGCACACTAACAACTGTCAACAAGGAGGGGAGACACTAACAACTGTCAACAAGGAGGAGACACACACTAACAACTGTCAACAAGGAGGGGAAACACACTAACAACTGTCAACAAGGAGGAGAGACACTAACACCTGTCAACAAGGAGGGGAGACACACAAATAACTGTCAACATTGAGGGGAAACACACTAACACCTGTCAACAAGTAGGAGAGACACACTAACAACTGTCAACAAGGAGGGGAGACACACTAACACCTGTCAACAAGGAGGAGAGACACACTAACAACAGTCAACAAGGAGGAGAGACACATTAACAACAGTCAACAAGGAGGAGAGACACTAACAACTGTCAACAAGGAGGAGAGACACACTAACAACTGTCAACAAGGAGGAGAGACACTAACAACTGTCAACAAGGAGGAGAGACACACTAACAACTGTCAACAAGGAGGAGAGACACTAACAACTGTCAACAAGGAGGAGAGACACACTAACAACTGTCAACAAGGAGGAGAGACACACTAACAGCTGTCAACAAGGAGGAGAGACACACTAACAACTGTCAACAAGGAGGAGAGACACACTAACAGCTGTCAACAAGGAGGAGAGACACACTAACAACAGTCAACAAGGAGGAGAGACACTAACAACTGTCAACAAGTAGGAGAGACACACTAACAACTGTCAACAAGGAGGGGAGACACTAACAACTGTCAACAAGGAGGGGAGACACTAACAACTGTCAACAAGGAGGAGAGACACACTAACAACTGTCAACAAGGAGGGGAGACACACTAACAACTGTCAACAAGGAGGGGAGACACTAACAACTGTAACAAGTAGGAGAGACACACTAACAACTGTCAACAAGGAGGGGAGACACTAACAACTGTCAACAAGTAGGAGAGACACACTAACAACTGTCAACAAGGAGGGGAGACACTAACAACTGTCAACAAGGAGGGGAGACACTAACAACTGTCAACAAGTAGGAGAGACACACTAACAACTGTCAACAAGGAGGGGAGACACTAACAACTGTCAACAAGGAGGAGAGACACACTAACAACTGTCAACAAGGAGGAGAGACACTAACAACTGTCAACAAGGAGGGGAGACACTAACAACTGTCAACAAGGAGGGGACACACTAACAACTGTCAACAAGGAGGAGAGACACACTAACACCTGTCAACAAGGAGGAGAGACACTAACAACTGTCAACAAGGAGGGGAGACACATTAACAACTGTCAACAAGGAGGAGAGACACACTAACAACTGTCAACAAGGAGGAGAGACACACTAACACCTGCCAACAAGGAGGAGAGACACTAACAACTGTCAACAAGGAGGGGAGACACTAACAACTGTCAACAAAGAGGGGGAGACACATTAACAACTGTCAACAAGGAGGGGAGACACACTAACAACTGTCAACTAGGAGGCTTCTCGTGTATACTTTATACAATCTGTGATGTACTAACCAAGATGTGCTCACAGGTTCGAAAGTCCGCTGAAACACACTTTTCCACATTGACTATTTTCACCCATGTTTACTTGCCATGTTTACATATAAAGTTGTACATAAAAATGACCTCGACAACTTCATCATCAAGACAGTTGTATCTGTTTACAACTCTTTAACTGAAGAAGTTACTTGTAACATTTATGTGACTTACTTGAACCTCCAGTGGGAAGAGATTATATGTTCCTTAATGGAGCCCTGTTGCTTATGCATATTAGCAACAGGGTATATTATTAACAACAGCTTATGCATAATGGAGCCCTGTTGCATAAGTAACAGGGCTCCATTAAGGAACATATAATCTCTTCCCACAACCAAACCATCGCCAGAGAAATCCTAGTAAACAACACAGAAATCATCGATAGATACAGCGATAGCAGGCTGCTTGACGTCTGCGAGGCACTACACATCAAGAAGTCAACACCAGCAATCAACAGCCAATTAATGCACAACTATATTCTACCCACCTCAAGACTCCGCTCCAATATAGAAGCATCAAGAAATATGGACCAATAGGCTTTCTACAATCATTTCTATTCAATACCCATTGTTTCGTGTTCTGTCTTGTGTTTAGGAATTTAATACCCTATTAATACCACCTCACCCCATCCACCTCACTCAAATGTAGATATAAACAAATCGAAGATGTGTAAGTTCGATTCAGTTGTGTATGTGTAACTAAAGTCTTTGAAAATGTAATAAGTTTTACAAAACGCGCTCAAGTGTCGCGTCAGACTAGAAATAAAAATGAATTTTGGAGAATTGATTTTTGAATTACCACCAACAGTGAAAAGAAACGTACGAAAGATCGAGAAAATTCGTGTTAGAATTATTAATCTTACTTTTTCGGTCATATTTAATAATATATATATATATATATATATATATATATATATATATATATATATATATATATATATATATATATATATATATATATATATATATATATATATATAAATATATATAAATATATATAAATATATATATATATTTATATATATATATAACTGAAAACTCACAAAAACTATATATATATATATATATATATATATATATATATATATATATATATATATATATATATAAATATATATAAATATATATATATATATATATATATATATATATATATATATATATATATATATATATATATATATATATATATATATATATATATATATACTCTAGCTGGAAGAAGGGGGACCCATAGCCTCGGAGGAAACCACGCATAACGCATTAGAGGGAATGTTAGGATCCCCTCCAATACAGTTTCTGTGTGCTTTTCTCCTACCACCCCCTTCCTTGAATATTTTTTGTGCTTTATTATGCATTTGATGGTTACAAGATATACATGGGTTGATACAAAAACAACAATGCAAAAAGGCGCTCAAAGGTTATGGATCTCCTGAAGAACACAACAATGGGAGACATTGATGAATGTCACAGACGGGTTCGATCATTGTTGCAAGTCAAACACTTCTTCGAATTCCTCTGAAGATGGACTAGTGCCCAAGACGCAACAGGCATTTCCCCTCTGAATCGCAACACTGAGGCGCTGGAACAAGAAACTTTTTGCTCTCTGGTCTTTTGTAGCGCTGATCAATTTGTCCCCCAATTCCTTCAGGAACTTCAATGCACATTTTCCCCACGAACCG